TTGTGCCCCCATTGCATTTATTTTAGCAGTTTCCAGAAATATATCTCCACATCTGGAATTATCTCTGCTTCTGTAATGTGCTAATTAATCTTATTCTCTCTCTTGTGATGATGTTATGGTTCACTGAGTTGGGTCAATGGAGACTTTCTTGCTGAAGGCTATGGATTGGTTGCACTGCTTTTTCTTTGTCTTCCTGACCCAACAGTGACATCCAGCTGTGTAGGCAGCTTGCTGGATCACAGTTAGTACATTTTCCTTGCTTTCACACTGATCATCCCTTCCAAAAGACATTTGTGAAGTTTTCTCAGCTTTTACTTTATTCTGTTCCACTAACAAATACCCGTCTAGTGAAAGGCCTCTATATCTGATTTTCCACTCACTTGGGGAGAAGAATATTTTTATTCAACATCTTCTGCCATGGGATGTGAAAATGTAAATGGTCAATGCCTTGTAAACATAAGCAAAGAATCTGAAAGTTGTCCAAATTACCAATAAACATGTGTTATAGCTGATATGAAAGTGAACATGGATACAATTTTTGCAAAAAAAAAATCAGAATTCATTTTTTTCAAATGCTTTCACATTTAACTTCCAGATTTTGATCTTTAAAGAACTTAGAAATCACACCCGCCCCACGCAAAAAAAACAACAACAATCCTATAACATGAAGTTCATTAACAAATGTTGGACAATGTTTGTACAGAACTTTCTACATGGAATATTTCTGTACTTTTCTGCCAATAAACACCAGCCCTTCTTCAACAGCAGGAAATGCATATGTAAAGAATAATGTATGTGTTATTATGAAGTTAGGACTTCCAGAGGTAAAGTACACATTTTGATTAGTAGGGATAAATGTAGCCTCTGGCATCCTATACAATCACTGTGTACAGGTTGAGCATCACTTACCTGGAGTTCCAAAAATCCCATGCATTAGAGATTGCTTCTCAGGTGGAGTGGGTGGGAACATCATGCAGCTACCTCCCCAGTTAGCACAGGCATTGTCTTCTGCTAATCACAGTGGCTGCTTATTGATAGCAGGACTTCCCAGTCCTTGCGCAGTGGAGACTGGGGAGGAAATTTGCCTCCTCCCCTGGAGAAGAGGCTGGGAAAATAGATCCAGCCAGGATCTCTCCCCTGGAGAAGAGGCTGGGAAAATAGATCTATTTTCCAGAGGGGGAGGAACTCCAAGGCAGCTCCTTCCCCCTCTAGCCTCATTCGAAAGAAGATTTCGACCCACCCTCCCGCCACTAACAGTATAATTTCAGGTCGCTGAAAGGAGCTGGGTAGGAATTTTTTCCCTCCTAAAGTATAGGAGGTTTTTTTTGCCTACCCTATACTGTAAATAGGCAGATTGGGAGTGGTGGGGTGATTAAATAGGCTATAGGCGGATTTTGAGGACAATGACATCTTTTGGTGTACACCCAATGCATCCTTACATAGGCCAAGAGTAGAAACCCTCATCGGTGGGTCTTTGGGCCCAGAGGGGGGCGTATACAAATGGCCTGAAACTGGAGACCCTGAACTCAATTCCTTGGGACAGAGTATTCCATTGGTTTCCCTGCAGAGGTGATCCTGGATTAATTTACCTAGAGGCCTGGTGTTTTTGCCCAATATCAGCTGAGGGGTAGGTCGGGAGGAACACTACCTCGGCTTCAGCCCTCACCAAATTATTGTCATGTTAGTAAGAATGGTTCATGTTGGTAAATTTTAAATAGGTAACATTAATAAAGTTGCCATTAGTTTACTCCAATACTTATGTCTGTGTCTCTTCTTCCGGGGGTTGGAAGGCAACTAGACTTTAGGGGATTTTCACGGTTCCTATGTATCCCCTGAACTAAAGGTTGCATGACAATCTTAAATATGCAGTAATTATGAAAGCTTAAATGGAAATTACATATTTATAATTGCCCAACAAGAATCTGGGAGTCCTATGTTTGTCAGCTTTAGTTGCCGTTGCTCTTTCAGAAGGTAGCAACAATGCAGTAGCTTGCAGGGAAATCTATTTTCCTCATTTCCAATTTCATTTTGAGATATTCTTGCTATCACATCATTGTGACTTGGTGTTGAATGGGAAATCAAGTCCTGCTGGCTTTCTTTTTTAAAAAGACCTGATTCTGGTGAAAGTGCAATTTGAAAGGGTGGTTTGTTGATGTGGCTTTTGGTTTCTACTTTGGAATGCAATTAAGAGAACTATCATGATGACTCTTTTTGACAATGTATGAGTACAGTTACAGGAAATAAATATTGGGAACTTTTCCCCAATAAATATGTGGGAATTTACTCAATAAATGCATTTTGTATAATATGCAATCAGTTCCACTAATCTGTTTCCTATTGCAAAATATTACCAGGTTTCTAATCTGGCATGCAGTTGAAATACAGAAAAGAATAAAATGAAATATAGGAGCATTAAACAGCATTTAGACCAGTCTTAAACTGGCTTTTGAAAGCCTGTTGGGATGGTGAATAGTAAATACTTAGATGTTATACTATTAGTGGTGGGTGGGTCAACATCTTCCTGCCAAATGAAGAACCAAGAGGCAGGCTGTTACCAGTTTAGCCCCACCCCCTGAAATTAGCTCTGGCTAGATCTATTTTGCCTTCTCCCTTCTGGAAGGAGGTGGCAAAGCCACTTCCCCCCCCAGCTGCACGCACGTGGGGGGAGTTGATTTGCTGAACAACAAAGTGTTGGACAGCCCTTGCAGTCTCTTTCTATGCCCACTTTTTATCAGCTGGGTCAGAAACTTGGTAATTAATTAAGAAGTTGCAGAATAGTAGGACTCACTAGAGCTGGTGCTTATATTGGAAAGGAGAACCAGCAGCAAATCTCAGTTAAAGCCACTGCAGTGTGGGGTAGCAAGGCGACCATTTAAAGAACACTGACCAGCTGTTGACAGGAAGATGGAAAGCAGATGTTACCAGTCAGGAGAAGAGTTGCAAGAGTTGCCTTTAGATTTGAGTACTGGAGAAGTGAAGACTTGAGCAACAGTTGGACTGAGGCCATCTTTGTATGTGGTTTGGTCTGCTTCCTGAGTCTCCAACACACTCAACCTATTTTTGCTTGTGCTCCTTATCCTGCAACCACTTGCCAAGGCCTGTTTCCTGAATCCACCTGCTGAAGGTTGTGCAGCTACAACCATTTTTCTTGATTAAATACTTTTCATTTCAATCTTATAATAAAGTTCTTCTTTATTATAAGGTCATACAATATACCCTTTCCCATGAAGGATACAGTCTCTTCACAAAGGTCCATCTTTCAGATCTTACCTTTATCATGAATCCAGTATCATGAATCTGTCCACAGTTGCTCTCTTGAAGCTCTCTTGAAGCTAGTCATCCCCACAACATGTACACTGTGCTAACAAACATACTAAAAGACCATATAGGGCCATATTACTGAGTTAAAATGCTTTGCAAGTACCAAGACATTGCTGAACTGCAGTCTCTAAGATCTAATGAAATAAAATACCATGAAACTCTGCATGGATTGATCTATACAATGTTGTGCAACTGAATGACACTTTAATGAATAAAGACACAAATGAATGCAAAATCATGCATGAACATCTCATGTACATCTGAATGTGTGTGCAGATCCAACCTTAACCTGAATGTGGATTACTACATTATAAAATATCCAGCTACTTCTAACTTTGATATGTCCTCAAGACTCTGCCAGCTTAAAAGTCAATGTGAGGAAAAAATACTGAGATCTCCAGCTTTTAGACTACTGCAATCAATAGGACAGAAACAGAAAATATATATTTTTGTTGTGACCAGGTGATCTAGGTATAAACATGTACAAAATTCAATAAATGGTGTTCTGGAAAAGCTTTAGCAGTAGTACATTCTGTAGAGATGAAAAGTTGAGAAAAAAATCAGGATACATTCCCTAACCTTAAGTGTGTATAACCACTTGCCAGGTGTATAAATTATTTATTTATACCTCTTTTTTCTCTCCACAAGGAGACTTAAAGTGGCTTACATGAAAAGCATTTCAATACAATTTAAAATCTACAAATATACAAACATTAAAACAGAATTAAATATCAGTGGTACTTTAAAATTCAGGTAAAACCATAAAAAACATATTTTAAAAAATAACAGTACTCCCTGACTTGATCTTCAAAAGGCCTGCATGAATGAAAAAAGGTTTTAGCCTGCCACCAGAAGTATAGCAGGGAGGGGGGCATTCTGGATTTCCTGGGCAGGGAGTTCCAGAGTTGAGGGGCAGCCACCGAGAAGGCCCTCCCCTCCCCCAGCTGAGCTTGAGATGGTGGTAGGACTGAGAGAAGAACCTCTCCTAAAGATCTCAGGATTGAGGCAGAGTCATACAAGAATATGTGATCAGCCAAATACCCTGGACCTGAGCTGTTTTGAGTTTTAAAGGTCATAACCCCCTTTGAATTGTCCTCAGAAACAAACTGGCAGCTAGTGGAGTTGCTTCAACAACAGGGAGTTTGTCCACTCTCTGTAGCCAGCCCGAGTTAGCAACCTAGCTGCAGCTCTTTGGACCAGATAAAGTTTCCAAGCACTCTTCAAAGGCAGCTCCATGTAATGCACATTACAGGAAACCAGATGGGATGTAACTAAGGAATGTACCACTGGCTTCTCAAGGCACAGTTGGTGCACAAGTTTCAATTGTGCAAAGGCCCTCTGGGTCACCTCTAACACTTCTAGGTTCTGTGCTGAGTCCAGGAGGACCCCCAAACTGCAGGCTTGTGTTTTCAGGGGGTGTATGACCCCATCAAGCACAGGCTGGATCCCTATTTCCTGATCTGCCTTCCAATTGACCAGGAGCACCTCTGTCTGGACTGAATTAATGTGTATAATGTTCAACTAAAAAAAAAAAGTATGTGTTGCTGAAGTTAAAAAAATGACTATAGGAGATTAATGAATCCATATAAGCATCACATTGTCTGTATTCCAGATCTATTTTACATGTTGATCTCTTTTGCAATCTTCTGTGTTATTCTCAGAAAACATACAATGGGAAGTCATTTGAACATGTTATATTTTAATTTGCAGAGACAAAAATGACAAGCAATTTATTTACATAAAACTGTACAAAAGCAAATTAAATTATGCAAAATCTTTCATAAATAGAGGTGGACTAGCGTTGAATACATTTTTGCCATGTTTCTTTTTTTAGCATAGTTGCGTGCATAGTGACTCATAATAAACAATGATAAGTTGTTCTCTGCTTCACTATCAACATCCAAGTTGCAGAACAATAGTCAATGATTAATATTACAAACAGATCGTAACCACACTGAATGTAAGTGCTTCAAAATTCAGGAAAAGAAATGTCTGAAAGTGTACCCCAGGTAGCTGGAAAATGATGCCTTCTTCCAAGTATAATGCTCTTCAAGCAACTGCCCCAACTTAAATGTTGGGATTAGGTTCATCTCTACCATGGTCCATCTCCTCTCATTCAGCACTTAAGGAAACAATGGATCTTTATCACTGATGGAACATAAGCAAAACTGTCCCCATCTTCAATGCTCCAATGCCAAAGAAGTCTTTTAGTGATGGCTGTATTTATGGTAGTTTCATTTTACCTCGCTCTCTCCATTTTCCTACATTTCTGCTTTCCTATAGGACAACTTCCCAGGGTAGTCTTTCAGCCAAGCACCTTCAATCTCTCATTTGAGTTTTCTCCCCACAGAAAAATAACATCTACCTTGTTTTCTAAAACTCAGGCAGCAGGCCAGTCAGAAATTATATTGACTAAATATTAGCATATCTGGAGGTTGGAATGAGCATTAGAGTTTAGACAGTAGTTAATACGGACATTTTCTAATTCATATAAAGTTACATAAGTAATGCGGCAATCTAGAAATGTGTCCAATGTAAAATGCATGCAGAGCTCCTTAGAGTTCCTTCTGAAATTAAAAAAGCAAACAAACAATATTGGACTCTGGTGTATGAAATAAAAACAAAATGGTTGCTAATAGCATTTTTTAAAAACCCAATAAATCATCAATTTCTCTGCTAAACAGACTTATAACATCTTGCCACAGAGATGTATATGATCTCACTTTTTGAGTTAGCAAATGCCCCAGCCCAAAACCACGTCTTTTTTCGTCCCTCCCCTCATTTTTAAAAAATTATGATTCATATTTAAGACTGGTCCATTATCTGAGTTTGGTAGAAGGCATTTTTAAATATATCATTTTTTTCATTTCTCAGAAAATAAACATGGTTAAATATACAGGTTCAAAAAGGTGGGAATAGCCCATTAATTTTCAGTGTCCAACCCCAACCACCATTTTTACCATAACAACAGGTATAAAAGGCACAGTTGCATATTTTGCATTCACGCTAAAATTTTTCATTTCATTTTATTGTTTTTTTATAAAAGCACTCTATATAAGGAGTGTCACCAGATTGAACTAATTTTAAAACAAACAAACAAACAAAAACACACAAAAATATATTTGTGTCTCATGCTGGGTCATAAGAAGCAATTGACTATGTTTTGATGGCTAGATTTTACTAGAATTACCTCAAATACATACAAGTACACTGTATTTTCTGTTATTCTTTTGTGCCCATCTTAGTTCTATGAGTAAATTAAATAAATCACTCAAGTATATGATTTCTCTTTATAGAGTACACAAAATTGGGAGTAGTGGCTGATCCAGTTAATCCTGAAGGCCTTCTTTGACCTGTATTGGCTTTCTAGAAAAAGAGGTTTTAAAAGAGAAATAATTCTTTTAGATTTCTCTTATTTAGTGGCTCTCAACTGTATATTCAGTGTATTAGGATTTAAAAATAAATAAAGCTCTGCTGACCACTGGAGTTATGCAATTGTGTTCTCCACTGAAACCTGCAAGAAATGTATAAACTTTTATGTAAATATATTGAGAAACATTTTACCCCCAAACAGATACCTTAATGTTATATAAATACAGTAACTCATTAGGTCAGTCACCTTATAAAATCATAATTTGCATCTCTGATTTTTTTTTAAAAAAAGATGCATTAGCATGATAAATCATTTCTCTTTGTAACTGTTTTCTCCTTCAAATATGTTTCCATTTTTTTACTGCTACGCACAAACTAAAAGCCAAATGAAACAGAAATTGGAGGAAGATGCACAATGAAAAAGGGCACTTTGCTATTAAGAATTCAAAAGTCAAAAGCTGTGGTGAGTTTGTACCAGTCAATCAGCCCATAATTTTCAGACTGTTTAACAATATATTCTACGTAAATTTTAAAGCAAGAAACTACCCAAGCTATCTTGTCACTACATTTTACTAGAACCACCTAGTCATGCTTTAATGCCAAGTTAAACAACCAGAGGGGCTGGCTTCTCTTTGCACCCTTTCTCAAGCTGTCCCCACTGCATTGAACGATTGTCAGTTTCATTTGAATGTCCATGCTCAGCCATTCTTTATTACTATTTCATTTCCAATACAGAACTACCCCAGATTCTACACACTCCGTTACTTTTTATTGCACAAAATATATCTGGTCCATTTTCTCATCCACATCATATAGTGCAAACTATGAGAACTGTCACAAGCTCAGAAATCTGCACCGTCATGATCAGGTCTGGATTCTTTGTAACTTGTCACAAACAAAACTATTTTGCACAGAGCATGTTGGCGGTGACAACAGTGAAGACTACTGGCCACCTTGAGTCTCAACATTGGTTTTATATTGCACAGGAGTCAGCTTAAATGCACTTGTGTTTTAAGAAAACCTGCATAATACCTTTGCCAAAAGCAAATGATTAACCTGGAACGCTGGTAACCCAAGGGTTGGTATCCACTTTCAGCAAAGATGGCGTCATACTTGACTTGAAGCATGTTCTTCCCACTGCCTTCATCGCACTGTTCTTTCAGATTCCCCTCTCAACATGTCTTGGAGCTCATCAACACAGCTTCCGGGATGAATTTGAAACCTTCTAAGAAAAATAAAATCTAGAACTGTAGCTTATGATGTTATAATGCTGTTACCAGCAAGTGCCTTTTATCAGTTCCATTGGGCACTCAACTAAAATCCATTTGGAAAACAACTACATTGTCTGGGCTTGCCGCATAAACTGCTGTGCAAATGCATGTGGAAAAATATGCTTATGTGTTTGTGTGTGTCTGTGTCATTTTTTATAAGCCAAGACTAATAAGTAATTCCCCTGATCCATAGCAGTATGTTCTTTGGCCTTTTAATCACTATGGTCATCCAAGCTAAAAGTTGGTCTGGAAAAAATGACACCAGTTTAGCAATTGATCCTTAGTATGTGATGATATATACCATCATACTATTTGTTATGCAAAAAATGGTGATGGGGGGAGGGGGATGAAGGAACGGATAGAGAAAGAGGAGATGGAAAAGAATGATAGAAAGAGGACAAGAAAGATAGCAGTTGTTTTATGGATGAAAAATTAACCCACAGTTCAGGATTATAGAGAACATGTCCTAATTTGGAATATAATTTCAGGCTGAATATGTTTTCTGTTGTTTCCAGCCACAGGACAATATATAAGTTGTGATCTTCCAAAAAAAAAAAAAGAGGTGCTCTTTAAAAAATGTCCCTCTAGTTATTTATGTTTGTATGGTTTCTGAAGGCTTATCTTTGATGGGAACCAGCAATATTCAGATGATTTCTTGGGGAGTTGACTATATATGTTCACATACATATTTAAGAATTTTATTTTTCCCTCTGACCTGCTATTCCCAACAAGCCAGATGACCACCAAATGAGAATTGAAGTGGCTTAAACAATGCTTTAGCAGTGGGGAGGGGGGTAACAACAGTTTCTGAGGTTCTTTTGTTTTGTTTTGTTTTTCCATGTCAGATGTGTTACCTTGAAAGGAATTTACAACCAGAAATTTAGGAAAATTAAAGATTGGTGAGCAGGGAATTAGGCATGCAGGAGCAACAATGGTTTCTACATTGTACAGTAGAGTCAGGCAGACAGGATACGTAAATGCCTGGCACGGAGGCAGAAGTGGCAGGCCAAGCTTTTGTCTCTTTGGTAGCCCCCTTTCCGATAGACTTCCCTTTATTCTATTTTTTTGTTTTTGAGTTTAAATTGTTTTGATTTATAGGTTTTTGCCTTTTGTCCTCCTTTAATATACGAGAGAACATTGTTGTCATTTCTTCAGAGCCTAAAGGTAAACTTCTCTTCTAGTTAAAGTATTGACGGGAGATGGCTTGTATTCCCCTGTCTGTGTGAGGGGAATATCCTCAGGATTGGCTTCCTCACTTTTGCTGAAACTGGCTGGACTGAAGGTCTCATAGGATGAGGTCAACTTTTTGTTAAGGAGGTTTCTGTTGCGGTCACCCATCAGGGAGGCTTCTCCATTGGCCAGCTTCTCTTGACTGCCCCGTTCATCAACAGGCATGAAAGTGGAGAGTTTTGGCTGGCTTTTCGGCTTTCGTTCAGGTGAGGTGCGGACAGGCATCCAGCAAGAATCTGAATGGCCGTACTCATCACATTCCCGAGTACACTTCCCAGTCAGGGCGACATCTGGTAAAGGTCTTGAATCTGCAAGCAAAAAAACAGCAATAGTTTTAGGACTGGATTCTACCCAACCAAAATGAAATAACAATATTTTCACAGGTTGACTTTGCATTGGCAAACTAGTTTTCTTTTCTTGTACACATATCTCTGTGATATCCTCCTAGTGCAGTCAAAATTCATTTGTCTTTTTTTTTTTTAAAAAAAAAACCCTTCAGATTTTATATTCCAGAAAGATATTCTACATCATGGGCAGCTAATGGATTACATGTGGGAATAGTGTCCTAGTCCATACCTCACCGATTATCTATGTTAATTTAATATTTCAATTTGGTCATGATTTCGAGACAAATTAGGCCCCTGAGCAGCTTGCTTCAGAAATCTTTTGATTTATGTGTTGTTATTTTGAGCAGAAAGGCTTAAGTGAGAAGCACCGCCTCATTTGAACCATGAGCCAGCCACCAAGGTGTGTCCAGTAATGACAAGGCACCTGAACTATTGCATCCTTAATTTTTCTCACACACCCGTAGAATCAAGAATTTGTTTAAAATATACTATGGCATCAAGTAGAGATAAAGTCAAATAATTTAAGGAATGGGACAAACGCACAATGCAAAACTTTTCTCTAAAATTTTGATGCTTTCTTGAATATCAACAAACTTTTAGAAAGACCTGTACACTAATCTGAAAATACTGTAGATGTCTACTTCTAACTTGAGGGTCGTTCTTTTTCATGGCTTACCCTGATCAACCAGCACAATTAATGCACCACCCAAGCGAACATAATACATAATAGCAGTGCAGCTGAAGTTGATATTGTAAGGCCAAATGCTATGCTATGGTATAAGAAATTTCATCAATTAAGAATAAGATCCATATAGACCTGTCTTAAGTCAATGCCAACACTATTAAAACAATTAAATGCTCAGATCTTTACAAGGTTGAAAATTGATTACATATGATTCATTAAAACACACACAATAAAAATGGTTAGGAGCACTCAAGCAATGACAATGATTTGCATTTTTTTTTAAAAAAAAGAAAACACTATGTGTTCATGTAAGCATCTGGTTTTAAGTACTGATTAGTGTTTGCAAATGTAATGTACAGTAAATATGTGGGCTTCATCCATGAGCCTATTGTCTGTCTGAATTTTTGTGGCATTCAACTGACTTTCTTAATGTTATGGTTGCATAGTAGCACTATGAAGTTTTAGTGATCTGTCCATTAAATCCAGACCTGCTAAATTAATTTATATATGGATCAATCAATTTAAACACTTTTTATTAGCTAAAAATGGCTATTTAATACATAGCAACCCAGTTTGAAGTTAGGATTTGTTTGCTTGCTTATTTTAAACATAAATAGTTCCAAAAGCATTTGGCACAAAAGAGAAATTAGTGTCATACTAATTGCTACTACCATCTAGTGAAGAATTCGTAAAGTAATAAGGTTAGCATTTGCACCATTTATTGATTGACTGAATGTGTCTGGCTTGGAGTAGCTATAATAGTTAGGCCAGCAAGTGCTAATTCTCAATTCCTCATACACAGGAAGAAATGCTTTTTCTTTGTGAGACAGATCATTTATAAGCAAAATCAGGAAGCTTTTATTTTCAAAACAGTTTTATTTATATGCTAATGTATGTAGATTTAAATTTATTGCAACTAATTTGATTAATCAATTTATATTTATTTCAATGACTGACAGTCCTAATTGGAAATTATTTAGAAATGAGTACTAATTTAGATTCATGTTGTTCCTTTAATTTACTGGTATAAAAATTGTATGTGTTGTTATATTCCATTTCCAACATAAACCTTAAGGTGCTTCATTTTAGCTGTCTTTCTGTTTCCCTTAGAAGAGCACTTCGTTATATGTTGAATTTATTTCACTAAATTTGGAAAATTCCTCTCCCCTTGTATCACGCACATATTTCCTTCTTTTGTTACATGGCTCATCTACAGGCAGAAACAGATTGCACAAAATTGTACCTTCGATAATGAACCATATATTCTTTCCACAAGATTAGGTTTGAATGAAAATGGGTTCAAAACATTATTAAAGAAATGATCCAATCATATAGCATTGTCATGCTACAATTCCCAGATCAATGGCTATTGCCTAGGGTTACTGGGAGCTGGTGCGAAACAACTAGAGACTAAGGACCTCTTCGCATAGCCCTTTCAGGCTGTGCCATTTCACCAGCAGTCACTGGCAAAAGGGAAGGTCTGCTGGGTGAGTTGTGGAGCCCTATATGCCCTCCCTCTTTCTCCCATCATACGATGGGGATGGGACAGGCACCCTTTCGCTGTCCCCACCAGATGGGAGAAAGGGCAGCAATGCACGTTGCCCCACCACCCTTCCTCTCATCATTTGGGGACAAGGGGATGAAAGTGTGGGTATCTCTGCCAGAGCTACTCAAAACACACTTTCCTCCCCATGGTGGTGGAGGAAGTGCCTTTTGGGAGGAATGTGATGGGACTTGCCATGTGTCATCTAATGGCACTCAGGAGGCCCTGTCCAAGCCACAAATAAAAGCAGCAAAACGGGACTATTTTGCCCTGTGTGAAGAGGTTCTAAAAGTTGGAAACAACTTCCACTATATATTGTTAATAAGTCTGGACATGTATGGGTTGTGGCTTCCATTTAATTCCAGTGATCTAAAGTAAGGCATTGCATGCACTTAGTGGTCCCACTTACACTAAAATAAATAGCCAGCAAGTCAGAAAGATCTTGCTGAAGACAACTGCACCAGTTGAATGTGGGATTATCAATCCCACAATGGATAATACTTGCTTCATCTTTCTCATAGCTCAAATTTGGGTAATAATGGCTAAACAGCCATATCTGATCATGGCTGATGTGAAAGCAGCAATGTGCAGACAAAGCAATCACATTGGGGTGGGATGCTTTTGGTGTGTGTGTGTGTGGGGGGGGAGGGTGAATGCAGGGATTGTGATAGTTAACCCCAAGTACACTTTGTGAAGAATAATGTTGACTTGAAATCTGACCTAAACTAAGCTCTATTGAGGCATAGGCCCAACCATAGCAACATTACAGTGAACTAAATCAATTAATATTTTGAACAGTGTTGTCATGCAGCCAATTTTACATCAAGTGTTGAGAACTAGCAACAGGAAACCAGGAGCTGAAATTGGTCCTCCAGGGGAACAAGAATCCCACTACATTACTAACTGCCAACTTAAAAAAAATGTACATGAAACAAAAAATTACATTCCGGTTATGGAATGCTCTGACAACATACAACAGAGAACTTAATATGACACATGTCCATATTTTGAAGTATAATTAAGTAATATTTTGCTGTACTGAGATGGGGAACATTAACCATACAGATTTTGAATGAGAGCCAGCTCAAAACATTATTTTTCTTCCTGAGACACGATCATGCCTCTTTATATGCCACAAATTAATCTATAGTTGAATCTTATTGACAAAAGTACAGCATCCACTACTGCATCTGGGAGAGAAAGCAGTCATGTGGTGCACACAACAGTATTTGTGCCATGCTTCTCAACATTTACCCCAGGTAAATGCCAGTCATATTTCAGACTTTAACTCTTAATAGTGCTAACAAACAAAGACAGCAGTGGGGCATGTTGTGGGATATAGTTCGGTAAGGAAGTCCAAATTCTTTACACTTCTACTTGATCAAACTGAAGAGAAGAGAAAGATGCTAGGTTAGGCCTTAGGTTAATGCATCTGTATATGTGTCATGACTTTTATTTTATTCTATCTTTGCTGTTGCTTCAAGGGATGGGGGAGGGGTTTGCTAAATTCTTTAGAATTCAGATTTTTCACTCAGACTCTAACAGCTTTGTTCTTCTTTCTCAGTGAGGATAACAGATATATTGACATTTGTCAGCTCATCTTGACTGTGGCTGGGGAGCAGTGCACAGCATGCAGAGAACATAATAGGAAAGCACTGCTGTTCATCATGGTAAACCTGGAATTACTTTCCAACTCTCCAAAGGTAAAAAGCAGGGATAATAATTTATTACTCTAGCACACATGATGCTCTTTGATTTTTAAGCAGGCAAATCCTCTTAGAATTTTTTAAAATGAACAAGGCAAAATATTTCCCTGCCATTGTTTCCTTCTTAATAAGTTCTGTGATGTAGTCTATAATTCATTTTCTAATAATGTCAATTTAGAAAAATCAGGGTGATTGTGGTTACTATTACTGGCATTACTACCACCAGAAGAACTGTTTCAAGTATGTCATGAAATATTAGTCCCATATAAATTATCTGCTGCTAAGACTTCAAGACCATTCAAATGGCCACACACAAAGATTTTACAACTGTCCCTGAAAGGAGAACCTCTGGAGTAGTATTCTATTCATTGGGGAACCTGGTATCGAAAACAAGCAAACAAACAAATAAACAAAGACCTAAGTATAATGACCTTTTCACACAGCTGCCAGAATCGTTCCATGTTGTCAAGGGTAGGGAACCCAGCACCCCACGCTCCACATTGCCTGACTCCAGTAAAGGGTGATCCCATGGGGGGAAGTGTCAATCATGCAGCTTCCTTCCATGGTTTCCTATGATAACACAGGAAGCCTCCTGTGTTGTCGCAGTGGCAGCATACACCGGCACTGCCCTACTTCACCCACAGAACTCCACAGGCATCATTTGATGGGAGCCAACGGGCTCCATGGGTGACCTAGTCTAACCAGCATATGCCGCCAATTTTAACCATTTGTGATGAAGTCTTAAGTACATAAATGCGTACACTCTACAGACATACAGGTTTAAGACCAACATAGAGTTCTTGGGTGTTGACCTCTGTTTTTTTTTTTAATTGGGGACAATAAGAAAACAGTGAGTGCAAGTTTGCCATAGTAAGCTGACAACAACAAAAGTCATATTAGGTATCAGGAAAAGGAAGTGGTATAGCGATAGTAAATGATAGCGCTTCCATCACTGTGAAGAAGTATGAATCAAAATAAGAAGACAAAAAAACCACCTGTGCCTAGGGAGACCTATATTTCTAACAAG